CAAGCGCAGCATGAGCCAAATGCAACCTTATTACTGCTGTGAGATACTCATTTCTGCAGTACTTTCCCAATGTTCATGTGGGGAGTCAACTCATAAGCCTTCAGTCTTCGAACGGTTAACTGAACCGTCAATGGTCTCATCATCAAGAAGAAGATGCTTTCGCCCCAAGAAACAAGCACCCAAGAATTGCCACATTGAAGTGACGATTAACATGGTCAGCAAGGGCAAGAGTAAAGCTTCGGCTTATTCTTCTGAATTTTCTGATCCTGAATACTCTCCAGGACTAGGCGAAATGCTTGTCGAAGGACAGGGAGTGTATCAACACACTCGTACTCGTATTGGTATGGTGATCTCGTTTGATTACCGTCGATTAGCAGGCATCATAGATGAGGTTGAGGAAGAGCCTGAAAACTCAGCTATTGCAACCTCTCATCCTTCCAACACAGATCAAAGTGAACAAGCAAGTGCTCACATGGCCGGAAGTGAGGAGGACCTGGCGAGGCAGGTGGAAGAGCAACAATCAACCATCCTCCAACAACAGGAGTTTATCAGACGCTTGGAGGATATGGTGGACAAACTCCTCAAGGAAAAGAAGAAGAAAGCTACCGTCGAATCCTCAGGATCAAGGCACCAACGACCTTCACCCAGTGCTAGGGAATCTAGCCGTCGAAATCAAGATGGCGATAATGCAGAAGATGAGGAAGAAAATATTTCTGATATTCACTCTGAATCATCCAAAGCTGAGTCCAACCCGCATAAGAATGACCGAGATCATAAGTTGGACGATTTCCAGAAGCAGCTTGAGGCTTTGAAGCTTCAGAGAAACTTCAGAGAACTGGGGGTCGTCAGGCCATACCCTGTCGAATGGGACGACGTTCCCTATCCTCCAAAGTTTAAGCCACTCAGCCTTCTGCAGTTCGATGACTGGAGCATGAATCCATCACTTGCTGGAAGGACATGGAAAGGCTCTTTTTGGCCAGATTCTTCGACGATGACATAGAAGTATCTACGGCCACCCTGCTAGTTGAAAAGCAGAAGAAGACAGAGTCTGTTAGTAACTTTGTCAAGAGATTTAGAAATCGTTCGCTGCATTGCCGTGATCAAGTCTCTAAAAGTACGTTGATCGAGATGTGTCGCAGTAATCTCTCGATCCATATTTTATCCAAGATTGGAGCGGTGAAGACCCGAACTTGGAAAGAGCTTGTTCGCCAAGGAGAACAGGTCGAAAGCATGCTCAATAGGCTAGATGCTGAAGAGCCATGTGATTTTCAAGGAGGTGATGACCAAGACAACCTCACTCCTGAATCTTCATCAAAGCAGAAGGGCAAATCTTCGGATAGCCGCTTTCAACAGAAGTACGACTTCCCAGATGAGCAAGTCGTCCTGATACTCAAATCCTTGATCAAGGCGAAAAAGATCAAGCTCCCAGAATCGATACGACCTGAGATGTCGAGAATGGATGAAACCAACTATTGTGCATACCACATGATGGTTCATCATCCCACCTCTCAATGCTATACCTTGAAGGATAAGATCCAAGCCTTATTGGATGCAGGAGTCTTTACCCTTCAATCCTGATTTACAGCTATCGTTGGAGTGGGGTTAGTCGTGGTTTCTCTACAAAACCATGTACTACCTTAAGCTTTCTCTCTGATGAAGCCATGACGACCCAAAGCTCGTCATAAATCAACTCCAAGGTGAGTCTGAAGTCAGACGTGAGCATCTGACCCCTTACCAAGATACTATCATGTTAATAATTACCTCTAATAGTCACTTCCTCCAAATTCCCTCGTCAATCATCTCCAATAGGATGACGGGATGACAAAACTATCATGTTAATGATTACCTCTGATAATCACTTCCTCTAAATTCTCTCTCCAATCCTCTCCAATAGGATGACAGATCCACAAAACTATCACGTTAATGATTACCTCGGATAGTCAATTCTTAACCCTCGTCAAGTCGTGTTCTACCATGCGATAAACACCTACTTGTCTCTCGATCAAGATAGTGATCTACCATACGATGATTTACTATTTGGTCTTTTTCGAACATTCTATATCCTTAGAATGATCGTAAATAGTGGCTTACCATGCGATGTGTCGCTATTTTAATCGCAGTCATTATACTCTTAAGTCACTGAACGACATAATTATCCTAATGTCATCATTTTCCCAAATGACGTTCGTTTTCCAACATTGGCCTACCAAGTGATGTGTCTTTGTTTTCTTCATTATCGTTATACTCCTAAGTCACTGAATGACATGATTATCCTAACGTCGTCGTTTCCCCAAATGACGTTCGTTTTCCAACATTGACCTACCAAGTGATGTGCCTTTGTTCTCATCATCGTCGCCATACTCTTAAGTCACTGAACGACATGATCTTCCTAACGTCATCATTTCCCCAAATGACGTTCGTTTTCTAACATTAGCCTACCAAGTGATGTGCCTTTGTTTTCTTCATTATCGTTATACTCCTAAGTCACTAAACGACATGATCATCCCAACGTTGTCATTTTTACAAATGACATTCATTTTCCTGCAACAAGCCTACCATATGATGAGCTTAAGCTTTGTTATCATGCATCTGATCTAAGGCCTTAAAAAGGGCTAAGGAAAGAGGAAAATCTTAGCATTGAACCTAAGAGAAATTCTTTGACAACTTACTATGCTAAGGGTAAAAGCATGGCTAGTCCAACTCAAACGGCAGTTGGTAAAGACACATCAAGTCTGTTGATAGCTGAGGGTTTGCTAAAAATCCTAAGTCTTGATTGACAGCCCCACATGGGTCTAACGAAGTTTGCACAGAACGATGAGACTCATCAAGTAGCCGAAACTCGTCTCGAAGTGTCGAGGCTCAAAACGACGAAGTTCATCTGAAACGATGAGGATCACCGCGAAGCGTCGAAGCTCGCTAAGAGGCCAAGCTCACCAAGAGGCCAAACTCACCAAGAGGCCAAGCTCATCCCAAAGCATCCAAGCTTGTCATGCAAATCAAGCTCGTCATAGTCGAGAAGGTTCAAAGTATTTCAGACCCCATACAACCCAATTTGGGTCTGAAAACTTTGAAGAGGGTCTTGTAGACACTAAAAAAATGCCAAGGAATAAAGCAAGGTTGAACCTTGCTACAAGCATGACGAGGCTCGTCATCATAATGAATCTCATCTCAGCCAACGAAGCCCATCATGATGATGAACGTCATTGAAGACGAAGTCCATCCGCAAACGAACCTCGTCAAACGACACTTTACTCTCAAAGGAAGAACTTCGTCATTGAAGACGAAGTTCGCCCAGAAATGAAGTTCGTCATTGAAGATGAGGTTCGTCCAGAAATAAAGTTCGTCATTGAAGACGAAGTTCGTCGTTGCCATTATTGATGGACCTCGTACATAGCCAAACCTCGTCTGTCATAGTTTTCAGAGGCTACATTTAAGGAGGGTTAATGACCAATAACTTACTCATTTAAGGAGAGTTAATGACTACTAACTCACCCATTTAAGGAGAGTTAATGACCTCATTTAAATGAAAGTTAATAACTACTAACTCCCTCATTATAAGGGGAGTTAAAACCCATTAACTCACTCCATAATGGCCCTAAGCCTATAAATAGGCATGATCAACATGAAAAGAAGGAGGAGACTGAAAGGCTAGTGAAAAAAACCTATCTCTCCTCCACTCTCATGGATCTTCATAGATCATCGGCTAATTATTTGGCCTTAGAGCGTCGAAGCTCATAACGAGCATGACGAGAGTCATTACAATGACGGACCTCGTCTCAAATAACAAAGCTTGTCGTTGAATACAAGAGACGAAGCTTGTCATTGGAAACGAGGTTTGAAGCTCGTCATTGGATACGAGGTTCGGAGTTCATCATCGGAGGTGAAGTTCGTCAATGAAAACAAAGCTTGTCATCAGATTTAAAGCTCGTCAGTGAAGACGAAGCTCATTATTAAAGAAGCTCACGAGGCTCGCCACGCAGCGAGGCTCGACATCAAAGACGAGGCTCACCACGTAGTGAGGCTCGACATCAAGGACGAGGCTTGCCAAAGCAGTGAAGTTCGTCACCCACATTAAATCAGGATGTAACGACCACGAAGACCCAGTCAGCCACGTGGGCTAGATTCAAGGAATCAATTATGCCACGACTCCACAATTTCAGCGCATCAATTACGCCCACGACCCCATGATTGTAGCACGTCAATTACGTGCTAAAGCTCTATAAATAGCCGCAAGCTGCTATGGAGAGGGGGCTGGCGGTTCGAACTTTTAGACTTTTGGCAATCATCAGAGGTCAAAGCTCCTACGTATAGATCTAGAATTCGAACCTCGATTCTAGCAGTCTAACGAACGTGAGAAGCTTCAGCAATCTTGTTCTGATCATCAACGGGAGGCAATCTCGACTCAAGCATCGGGGGAAGCATCATTTCGCCACCAAGAACCCACCTTAAACAAAAGAGAAGCTGATCTCGACTCAAGCATCGGGGGAAGCATCATTTCGCCACCAAGAACCCACCTTAAACAAAAGAGAAGCTGAATTAATCTTCTCTTCCTCTGTAATCGAGAGAGAGTGTGAGTGATTGTAAGGGTTTCGTACCAAGTGATCGAACCTATTTTTTAAAACAAGAGAATCAATCCAACATCAATTTTTCGACCCCACATATACGACCTGTACTCCCGGGGAAGAACATAAACAAAAAAATTCTTATTTCGACTCTTAAAGTGTGAGTCTTGAATATGTCATCCTTCAATTACAGAATCTCGACTACCAAACAAAACAGATAACATTTGAATAGGATAACGATCAGCATTGCTCCTTCTTCGATGCAATACAATATTCTTGTTAACAGCTATAGTCACATGCTCTTTTAAACCCAGATAATACTTAATATAATCAATAAACTTAATAAGTTTATATAAGTTCTGGTAACATATATATGAAACATTTTAAGAAATTTTGCAAATAAACTACTACTCCAACTTCGAATCATTCACAGCATACCATTTGCATCATTATCTGCAACTGTCGTGCTCCCCTCACTTGCGCTCCGAATGATTCTCACCGCCTAAAATAATCACACAAAATGGTGGGGAAATATTATTAAGCATACAGAAATCAGTAGAGCAACTAGCTAATCGAATGCTACAATCCAAGTTATTGAGATCGAGCAACATGGGCATCCAAAAAATTGAAACTTTACTAAGAAAAAAGTATTGTTTCTTAGAGAAAATATTAAAGTATGATTACTTGCGTTTTAAACACAGAAGTTCTAGGGAAAACGATGGACCTAGAGTTGAGGGCAAAGCTTGGTAAGGTTGAAGGGGAAGCACATTCCTTTGATGGGGGTATTAGGATTTTTGAAACGAGACAGGAGAGGCGGCAGGGTCCGATTTGGGGAGGAACAATTATAGAATGTAGGATTTTCTACTAGTGTTCTCAAATGACAGACTACTGTTTCTTAGAGAAAATATTAAAGTATAATTACCTGGGTTTTAAACACAGAAGTTCTAGGGAAAACGATGGACCTAGAGTTGAGGGCAAAGCTTGGTAAGGTTGAAGGGGAAGCACATTCCTTTGATGGGGGTATTAGGATTTTTGAAACGAGACAGGAGAGGCGGCAGGGTCCGATTTGGGGAGGAACAATTAGGGTTTTTTGAGGGTGATCCGACGGCAAATTGCAAGATTGACGAGCCCTGACGGCGACAGTGACCTTTGACGGAGGCGGCGACCTCCATTCATTTCTCAATTTTAGTTTGATAGTTTTTTCTCACTGGTGTCTCTAACTTTAATGTCATAATTATTTATTTTCTTTGATGTTTATTTGAATGAGCTACACCCAATTTAAATTTTTATGTTATAATTGAATAGATACGAAACAAATATAATCTAAAGTCAATTTAAATTTCATGTTATTTGAATTATCATGAAACTAAGCTTGACTTGAGAAAGTATAGTGTTGCAAGAGTGAAAAATAGTTGAAAATAGCATTATTAAATAAAGATGAACAATTAAAACCAACAAGACAATATGATTTATTAAAAGCGGGCTATATGACACAAAAGAGAGTATAGAGTTTATCCCTAATCATTGATAGACTCCATAAAAATTTATAAGCTAAAAATTAATGTTAACTCGAGTACATTTTTATATGATAAAAGTATCCACATAAGCATATACAAGTACTAAAAAAGTTTTTGAAAATCCTTCTAAAGATTTCTGATTTTACTCAAAAAATAAATTATTCTATAAAATATTCAGAAAACATTGTCTTTTATTCCTTCTGTTTTTTTTTTTTTTTATTGAGCCGAAAACAATCATTCTTCACCTTTACATTTTTCCTATGTAATTACAGAGTAGTGTCTTTATTGTTGACATCTATTGTGATATCAGGCTAAAGCTAAAATGTCTTATGCTATTATCTTTCCTGGGTCTCGCTTATCTTTTATCTTCTCGTCTAACTTCACAAAAAAGTTAAATTTATTTTCAATGATCAACACAAACTTCTAGAAATATATACTTTGATTTTTTTTTTCAACAAATGTTAATTTCATATATGTGATACTTTTTTATGTTTTTAATTTATTACTTAAATAAGGCTAGGAGTTACCTCTTTTTCTATGTAATGTAATTTTCTGTTGTGCATCTAATAAGAGTTTCTATTGCATTAATAATATTATCTTGGAGAGATCATAGATCTCATAGTACCTCTCGAGCTCCTGGATGCAGATCTTTGAGCGAATTGGCCAAAGAAGAGCGATTTTCTCCTCATTGCGACCAGCGGTGGAAGTCTGAGCAACCATGGAAGATGGTTAAGGAGATTTGGGGAAGTTAAGAGAGACAAGCGCCGAAAAACTAGAGCAAGAGTTTATGAAGAAAAGCCCTCTTCGCTTCCAATGAGATATTTATAACACCCGAGAGGGACACGTAGAATAATATGGACGGTCGGCTCGTTTCAAAATGAATGGACAAGATACACCTCAAAATCCCAAACGGTTCACACAAAACTCGAAGCACCACCCTCTTTCCTCCATGCCTCTTTGCTCAAAAATCAAAGCGATAACAACTCTCTGGCTTCTGATGATGTCATCACGTCATTTCAAACAGTGATGTTTCATCTGCCTAATAAAAGCTTCTGGAAACTCACTAAGCGTATATTCGATGAACAGTCGGCCAAACCTAGTTTGACCCTTCAAAACTCGCCCCATGGAGTTCAAACACCAATTAGCAAGGGTCGTTGACTCGACTAACTCCAAACCAAGACAAAAAAAATAACAGAAATAACTGCTCGAGTTTGAGACATATCTTCTTAATGAAGAACGAGCCCCCTCGAGTCAGCAATTAAGTTCAAGTCTATGATAGAGTTAATTCATCCAGAAGATATAAATTGAGATTGCACAGCACAAGAAAAGTAATTCTGACTCAAAAATCTCTCTTTATTCATTTATAAAGAGTATCTACAAGGTGCATATGCACATATACACAACTCAAAAGCGAAAGACAGGAAATTCCTAGGAGACTAATAGATGTTCATTCCCACTCCTGGAGTCAAAGGCAAGGAGCCATTGGGAGCAGTCGGCAGAGGAGTCGAGCAGTCTCCTCCTTCGTCTGACTCCCCCTCTTCCTCGCCAAGATCAAGTCCCCCTCCAAGTGCTTCCACCTCCAACAACTATGGGTGCTAAACCGTATCCGTATCCGAGAAAATATTCGTAACTGTATCCGTTAGAATACGAATATGGTTACTCAAATCTATAACCGATAGGATATTGTAGACGGTAAAAAATACCTCTGATGACCTATGGGAAATCCGCCTACAAGAAATCACCGGCCTGAGCCGCATGGTCGTCAAATGTACTCGGTTCCAGATTCGCCTGAATGATCGGCTCGCCTGCACGAGTTGAGATCAATTGGAATAGCGGAAATTCGCCTTTCACGCGACTCGCCTGCCCGAGTCCAAAGTTGAATCCGCCTGCAAACCTCCAGGCCGTCAGTACAGCTGGATATCCGCTACCCCACGTACGGAGATAGGCTTTCCCACCTCTCTCGACCTGAAGGGAGAGGGCACAGTACTCCAAGACCGCCAGGCGGCCGCTCACAGTACTCGTAGTGCGAAGGACTAGACGGGTGTCGAGTCGACCTGAGCATTCATAAATGCAACTCACATCGACTATCTGAGTCAAGAGATGAATCTGCCAGCATTCGGCGAGCTGTATAAATCCACTCGAGTGCCAGGGACATGCTTTCCCGCCTCTCTTGGCCTGAAGAGAGAAGACACGGCACTCCAGGCCCGCCGAATAGCCGCCCACAGTACAAGTGAGCAGACAGATGTCAAA